ATTGGACGTTGACGATTCGGATCCACGGCTTTAGATTGATGATGAGGGGGTGGGTTTGATTTGCGTGCCTGGTAAGCTTGACATTTATTTTGGGCTTCGTGGGCCGTAGAGTTTTTTTTGGGAAAATGTTAAATGTCGATGGGACGGAAATGTCGAATATCCATGTATATATATTTTTTGAAATGTTATAAAAATATTTAAATTAATAAATAGACATTTCATTAATTTTAAATAAATTAAAAGTGATTAATATTAATATTATGTCTATGTTAATAATTTTTTTTAATGTTAATGTCGAACCATAGACACATAAAAATGTCGATATGTCAACGAAAATTGAATACCCTGATTATATTATGATGTGTTATCTTTTAAAAAATGAATTCGAGGAAAATGATCAAATTTTTCCTACAAACTCAATAATGTCGTCTTAATTTTTATTTTACACTTTCAATTGCATTGCGTTGAACCTTCAATGGAGATAAATCTCATGTGGGAGTGAGGAGTCGAACTTCTAATATTTTAATTGAAAATATATGTGTCGACTAGTTGAGCTAGCATAACTTACCAAGCATGTGTTGGAGACCGGCCATGCAACTCCAAGGTTAGGAATAATGAAAGAAAGATAAGGTGGAAAGCGAGGTAGAGGAATTGGTCGACCCTTTAGACCAATAACTTGAAGACCATATGTTTGAATCTTGTCTCCGCCTAATCACTTAAGATGCATTTTTTGTATAAAATAAAATAATGCCTTTTTTATTTCGACCCTTATTTCCCTAAAAAAGGTAAATAAAAAATTTCACTTCAAGTTCTCAACTATTTTTAATATGAAGTATTATTAACATGTTAAAAATGGATCGGTGTCGTGACATTCATTTCCCTTTCTAACTAGTAAAGTTGCTGGTGTATATCCATCAATTTTAAAACATGGGTTTAATAAAATTGATGGGACTTCAAAGGAATACAATACTTCAACTAGAATTTTGTGAAATTTATAAATTTTGGGAGATTTATTCCATTGTTGATTTTGAACCTTGACTGAGCTCAACCCTGTGTGAAACTTGGCTTTCATTAAACTTAGTGAGTTTTGGAAGGTTTTTGTCCTTTTTTTTAATATATAATTGGTGGGTGGATGCAACGGCGTTAAGAACAATTGTACTCCAAGTACCACAAGAATCTCCACAATAGTATGATATTGTATGTTTTGGGCATAACCCTCACTGCCTTGCTTTTGATTTTACCCAAAAAGACCTCAAACTAATGTCTCTTCCCTAGCCAATGTGCGACTTTATTTGCACTCTTTGTACAAACTCAACAATCCTCTATCGAACAAAGTACCACCTTCCTTCCCCTCAAGTAGTCACTCATATGTCTACTATCGGACAGGAATGAGAGTTTTGCTCTTATCCAAGGTTGTTGTCAGATCTTGATAGAGCATACCCACGAATTACACTATTACTATGCCTTCTGAAACTGACCACTTATTTGTTCGACACTCGATGATTTCACTAACACAGCTAGGATTTAGATCATGGCTCCAATACCACTTTTTTAGGACAACGGTACCCCAAACACCTCATATATCTCCACAATGATATGATATTGTCCGCTTTGGATATAGTCCTCCCTACTTTACTTTGGTTTCAACCAAAATGCCTCAAATCAACGTAGAGTTTCTTATCTAGCTAATGTGGGACTTTGTTTACGCTCTTTTTTTAAACCCAACAAAACAGAACTTCTAAAAAATATTGACATTTGTCTGAGCCTAGGTTCAATTTTACAAGAATAATTGATGGTAGGTTATTATTTTTTTATTTTTTCCAAAAACTTAAATATGAAATGAATGTTGTCTATTCATCTAGAAAATTTAAAAAATTTTAATTATTTCATTGAATTTTAAATTGTGATCCTATTTTGGTTTAGCATATGCCACTCTATATATTTTTTTTTTCATTCAGCAAAAATCTATTAAAATTTTAAATTTTGAAGTTCAAATGACAAAATAAAAAATTTATATAAAATGATATATCATCAAATTTCAGTGAATATTTTTATAATTCAACAAAAAAAGAAATGGTAATGTGCAAAAGCTCTCGATGATTAAATTGTGATAGCCAATCTGCCATATATGTGATATTGAATAAAAAAATCTGTGACTAGTAACAATAATTTTGTGTCGATTATATATTCTATTAAATTTTTCCAATTTGTTAAATTTTTTAATTTATTTCTTTTTCTATAAACGATTGGTTCATAGGAGAACGAGACATTCATGTTTTGTTCGAGTATGGTAAATGATTTATTAGAGGGTTGATATGGAATTTGTCTTTCAAAAAAAAAACTTAATTAATTGGCCAATAATTAATTTGAAATGTTAATATATATTAATTGGCCAATATTAATATATATTAATTGGTCAAACTGAACATAACTGATTAAAATATCTATCTCTGACGAACATAACTGGTTAAAATATCTATCTCTGATCAAAAGTTCATGAGTTCGAATCCCCACCCCCATCGGTAATTGACATGTACCTCCACATGTACCTCCAACCAAGAGGTACACAGACGTTCAAAACTAAATGTGGTTGTTATTTTCCTAATTTTACTAAATATTTTTGAGATATTTGCAACTATCTCTTTAATATAACTATTAATTAAGTAAGTTTAAGATAATATTAGGATAAATATAGGAATTAAGTAAGATTTGGAACAAACATTTTTCCTTCAAGATTAACATGTTTGAGAATAATATGAAAGTGTTTTTGATTTCTTAAATGATTTTGTTAAGAAGTATTTGTAAAGTACTTTAGAGTCAAATGTTTTGAAGAGGTTTTTGTCCTTTGTTGAACCATGTAGAATAATAATAAAACTAAATATATGTTTTAGTCATGTTTAAGTGTTTTTTCAACTTAGTCTATTTTATTTGAAAAAAATTTAATTTAATCCCTCGTGTTTTAACACTGTGTAAATATACATTTTTTGTTATTGAATGTTAGATTAACTTATGGTAAACGTATTATAATACAATGAATTAATTGAAATTTAGAGAAAACATTAGTGATATAAAGGGAGAGTTATTTGTAGCCGAATTACAAAGATGAGAATCGTTAAATACTACCTAACTTATTTAAGAAGCTCAAAGTCTCCTTTAAGATTAGTTAAATTCAAAATTATTTTAACAAGTTGAGCAATGTTCTAGTTAGAGTTTTATATTTGAATTATACAAGGACGTTGTTACAATGCAATTTTATGATAATTCTCAATTTCAAGATCATTCCATTGATTACTTTTTTTGTATTATTATTAGTATAAAAACATGTGAGTGGAGATTCGAACGTTTCAGGTGATGAAAAACGATGTGACACGTGGACCAATTAGAATAGTTGACCATGGACTGAAGATACGGAGCCTCATACCCATTTTTTGAAGAGCAATACCTTTGCTTTAATTGATAGCTTGACCATGGAGTACCTCGGCCTTCGCAAAACGACTTTTCAACCGTCTTTCCACCAACGCGTCACAAATCATGGGATAGTTATAACCTCGTGCTAAGTGGGACACATCAACCTACTCCTATAAATACAGAGATCCACTTCGTACACATGTAGACAATTCTGGTTCCTCATCTTCAGAGTGATAGGTTGGACTAATACTGACTAGAATGTTGGAAAGTGTCTACTATCTTTATGCAGGTCTTCCTTGACATACCTCGCTCTCTAATAGGTCGGTTTGTCCGTTATGAGATTAGATCTCTACATCAACAAAACCACGACCTCTTGATTGGAGATATATTCATTAACAAGTTGTGTAATGCTGGTATTGACATTTTACGTTCTTAGCTAGTGGTCCAGGATGACATTCAAATTTTCTAAGTTACACATTTAATTAAATCAATCTTATTGGCTAATTTTTAAGTTATATTTTGGATGCTGTATAAAGCTTTGTTAGTTGTTTTGCAAATATAAATCATATTTGATTGATGAAAGAGAGTTTATCTAGTTATTGTCGAGAGCACCATATTCGCTTTTATGTTATCTTGTGTTTAGATCTGATATGTTAGAATCATTCAAATAGTGTAATTATAAGTAACTCTTGTAGAGTGACTATAATCACGAGTTCAAAGTAACTTTTCTTTACTTTCTAATATTGATTATCCAGGTAAATCCACTTTAAATTTATCCTCGAGTTAGGCCTTTATCATCCTTTTGAAGTTTTTGAATTTTAGATATAAGGGTCCTGATCATTATCAAGATTATTAGATATAATCTATCGAGAGTCTCGTAACAACACAGACGACCTTCGCATATGGACGATTCAAGCCAAGGCAAAGAATTTACAAAGTCGTTAGAAAAAGATGTACAATAGATGAATTTAAGATCAAAAGCATGTCTAAATACTTGAAGTAAAATTAAAATATTTAAGGTAAGTTCGGCCTATCTTTAGCCGTTAAAAGTGATTCTACATCTATCCAATCATCGTGATTCACTGTCAACCGCTTCAAGATAAATCAACTTTTAAATAAATGTTTTTAGATGAATCTAATTTTCGTAGAGGTGGTTTTTATTTATTATTAAACCTTACGTATTTTATAAAAATATACTTTGAATCATCTAATTGAGAAGCTGTCTAAATAAACTCTTTCCATCGAAGCAACATCAGTTTCAAAGACAACTCCCAATTTCTCATAATGGGTGATGTTGGATGTTTCTTTTGTTTTATTTACTTTTTGTTTTCTTGTTAATCTTTTTATGTACTTAACAAATTGTTTATTATCTAATTATTTTAATCAAAATGTTTATAAGCTAACCACTCATTTTAGAAGCAAGATGAAATGGTTTTTGAAAAGGTTTTTCTTTTTTTTTAAGAAGAAACACCTTTTATTAGGCCCCTTTGAAAAAAAAGCATTAATTAATTGAAAAAAAAAAGAATATTCTTAGAATTTTCAAAAACACTCTAGATATTTAATCAAATACTATGAAAATTTGGAAGAGAGTTATTTCTCCATCCTTTTGATGAAAAATGTAGTTAATTAACTAGTAAAAATGTATTAAGGAGGAATAAACAACCATTCAATCCAAAAGCTTATGCTGATGAGTTTGGTAAATTTAATTCATTTATGGATATCTAACACTCGCTCGCTTGTGGGTTTGGAAAATTACATCAAGACCCAACAAGTGAAAATCATAATAATCGTCTTCTCCCCATTTTATTATTGATTTCCACATTAGCTTAAGTTTTTGGATTGACTGATGGTTTATCCATCCTTAATATGGTATCAGAGCGGGAGGTCCTGTATTCGAACCCTGCATTGTTTCACGCACAAGTGAAGGGGAGTGTTGAGAAAAATGAATTAAATTTACCTAACCTATTAGCTTAAGCTTTTGGATCGAATGATCGTTTGTTCATTCTTAAGCAAATGGTGGAAATTAAAATAAATATTCATGATTTGTGACTTTTAAAACAATAATAGATTCTTTTTTTCCCTTTAAATAAGGAGTGATGTTTAAACCAATAATTTTTTTTTTCATGCTAGTTTTTGTGTACTAAAGTTTTAATGTATGTGCTTTTGTTGGTGTGTGATCATTAGGGCTTGCACCACCAAATTAAAAGTATGATATTATTATCATTAATTTTGTTAATACAATCCTAAGATCTTTCTAAACATAAGGGAAAACTCAAGTTGTTTTGAAAATTATTTTTTTTTCCAAAAAAAAAAACTTATTTTAAGGTTAATTTTTTTTAGTTCTTACACATATGGATAAGGGTTTTGAGAGATTAAAACTCATACACAAATGACGTTTTCAAGTTAATTTTAGGTAAATCAAAGTAAAAAGAACTAAAATTGATTAAAAATAGAGCGGAAAGGTCACCAATTGAATGATTAAGAAACTAGTTTTTGCAATAACATAATTTCGAGAGTTTGATTTTTACTATTAAAGTTTGGGATTTAGCCGTAACATAATTTTATTTACTAAATAAAATTTAGAGGTAGTTTGAGTAGTTTACCCTATTTTTCTTTAACGTTTACAGTAAATAAAATTTTAAGTTAAATTATAAACTTGTTCTTAAATGTTATAATTGTGTCTTGTTTATATACTCTAAAAAATTTATAATAGATTTCAATATTATGTCTACTTACTTTAAATTTTTTTAATACATACTTAAAATTCTAATTCAACTATTAATTCATTCCAATCTTACCTAATTTCTTGATCAGAGATAGGTGTCAATTACTATTGAGCTAGGTTCACGTTAGTATAGTAAACATTAAACTATCAAGTTAGTGGTAGAAACACAATATATTAAATATCCATCGACACATCAATATTTTTATGTATCATTGGTTTTGACATCGACATGAAGAGTAAATCGACATTTCCATAACACTATAAAAAAGTCGACAGAACAACCTATCACTAATATATACATAATATTAATATTCCATTTTTAACTTTTTTAAAATAGAAAAATATTAATTTTTTTACCATTTTTTAATTTCTCTAATTTTTACAGAATTATTTATCGACATCGACATTTTTTGATCGGGAGACTAAATAAACACAATTTTAAAATTCGACGTGATTTTACAAAATTGCCCTTGTAGTTTAGAATAGGAAGCCGACAGATTGACGATTAACTCAGCATCGCTTGGGGAGAAAGCTAATTACGTCGCGTCCAAATACGTGTCCCTCACTCGCCGAATAATGGCGGAATCAACAGGCGTCACGAAATGACGAAACTACCCCCATCTTCCTTCCCGAAGCATTTCTCAATCCCGAACCCAAATCCGTAACTCCTCTCTCCCCCATCCCCCATTACTCGAAGCTCCAATTTTGTTCGTGTTCTTCGCTTCGTTTTCATCTGTAAATTGAAATCCCCAATTCCTCGAATTTCCCCCTCCCATGGAGACCCTCTCCGCCTTCCCCTCCCCTCCATGGCCCAACCCAAACCCAAGCCCTAATCCCAACCCCCCGCTTCCGGAGAACTCCGACCGCTTCGATTCCGATTCCGTTTCATCGGCCGAGCCCCCGGAGCCCAAGGTTCAGACCGTTCTGCCGGCGCCGGGCGACTCGCTCGCGTCGCTGCCCTCGCTGCTCCATCTCTCCTTCAATCAAGATCATGGCTGCTTTGCTGCGGGCACTGACCGGGGCTTTCGGATCTACAACTGCGATCCGTTCCGCGAGATTTTCAGGAGGGATTTCGATCGCGGGGGCGGCGTTGGCGTCGTGGAGATGCTTTTCCGGTGCAATATCTTGGCCCTTGTTGGCGGTGGGCCTGACCCTCAATACCCGCCTAATAAGGTCATGATTTGGGACGACCATCAGAGCCGATGCATTGGGGAGCTGTCGTTTCGCTCTGTTGTTCGTGGTGTGCGGCTGCAGAGGGACCGGATTATTGTGATTTTGGAGCAGAAGGTTTTCGTTTACAATTTTGCGGACTTGAAGCTGCTGCATCAGATCGAAACTATTGCGAACCCTAAGGGGCTTTGTGCGGTTTCCCAGTTGAGTACGTCGCTTGTGCTCGTTTGCCCCGGACTGCAGAAGGGGCAGGTTAGGGTTGAGCATTACGCCTCTCGACGGACCAAGTTCATAATGGCCCACGACTCGAGGATTGCTTGCTTTGCGCTTACGACCAATGGGCAGTTGCTTGCCACGGCGAGCAGCAAGGGAACTCTGGTTCGGATATTCAACACATTTGATGGAAATCTGCTTCAAGAGGTGTGTTTAATCGTCTTGAATTGAAGTTAATTCTTCTGGGTTTGTTATGACAATGATGTTTCATAATCTGCAATCTGATTCTTGAGTTTGTAACAATCAATTGTTCGTGGTCTTTTATGAAGTACTTAACATGGCCATGAATTTTCTTTGTGTTATCTGGGGTATGATGCATAGGTAAGGAGAGGCGCAGATAGAGCGGAGATCTACAGTTTGGCCTTTTCATCGACTGCCCAATGGCTGGCAGTCTCCAGTGACAAGGGAACCGTCCATGTATTCAGCCTTAAAGTCAATTCTGGATCTCTTGGAAATGATATGTCTCAGAATGATTCTTCTCTTTCTGTTGCACCAACTGGCTCCTCATTTTCCTTCATCAAAGGTAATTGAACTTGAACCTTTCCTATGATAATAAAGAAAAATGAGAATTGAAAAACATAACGCCATTTCACTGGCACCCTCTAGAAAAGAATGCTTGTACTTTGTATTTTTCATATCTCTTTCAATAATTCCTGGCAGAATAAGACCAGAAATTCTACATTAAAGGAAAGAGTTTGGAGAACCTGCTGATTGCCATTATCCCTGTTATTTTGCAGCTTAGCTTAGTTATGGAAACTAATGTCTGATATCTTTTTTTGCCTCTGGATCTAATTTTGTCTTGCATCTGCAGGTGTGTTGCCAAAGTATTTCAAGTCAGAGTGGTCTGTTGCTCAGTTTCGTTTGCATGAAGGCTCCCAGTATGTTGTTGCTTTTGGTCACCAGAAGAATACAGTGGTAATCCTTGGAATGGATGGAAGGTAAGTTGTCATCGGATGGGAATGGTGAAACTTAGTCGATAGCATCTCTTTAAATTGTTGATTATTTTTCATAATAACAATTAAGATGAGGATTGCTTGGAAAACCTAACTACCTGTTTATTCAAATTTTATGTTACCAGATAAATATCTAGCTAATTTTGAGATGTTTATTTGCATAGGCTGGAAATGGATAATTCTTTTGCCGTTTAACTCGAATCCATTTGTCCTTCCTACATTACCTTTTCACTAGCATATCTTTTTTTTTCCCCCTTTGATAATTGAGAGTTAGGAGTTTTACTCCCTATATCTAGTGGCACGCGCACCTGCCCCAAGGTCTGGACCCGACACCCGAGAGTCATCAAGGGTTTTTGGTATTAAGCTCCTCACTGGAAGATTTGAACTTGAGACCCCTCTAAGTTAGTTTGACTTGGAGATCCCAAGCCCTTGCCAATCGGACTGGCCCCTGGGGCATCTTTTCATTAGCATTATCATAAATTGTGAAAGCTTCCATTAGATGTAAATCTCTCTCGAAGTCTTAGCATTATCTTAATCGATCATTCTGGTATCCTTGATGACTCCCCCTCAATTCTTCCCTGTTATGGCTCATTTTTTCCCTCTCAAATCTTCATCACTTGCTTTCTAGTTGTAAGGGTGTATGCTAGACTGCCTAAACTTGTTCGATGCATTTTATTTTACTCCCTCATGTGTCATTTTCTTATTGTATGCAGCTTCTATAGATGCCAATTTGATCCAGCGACAGGAGGAGAGATGACACAGCTCGAATATCACAACTTTCTAATGCCTGAGGAAGCCTTCTAGCCGAATATTCTCACTAATTTCGGTTATGTCACGTGTATGTTCTTTTCCTGTGTGCTTAAAGCATGTTGTAAATAGATCTATGTATGTGTACAGATTGGCCTATGTTCGTCGAAAAACAAGAAAAAGAAAAAAAAAAAAAAGGAAAAGAATGCTACTATCGGTACTCATGTTTGTATATAATTGCTCTTTCTGTATTTGCCTTGTAAACACTACAGGGGCTATACTTCTAAAAGGTGAAGGAGAAGAAAGATGACTCGTAGAAACCACTTGAGATAAATTCATTGTGAATATAACAGCATTTGAATGAGTGTAATATCAGCTTCCTGAACTTTCCTTATGAAATTGAGTTGGCGTTGACTGCATATGATGCATGACTAAAGTTTACTATTTAAGTTTAGATTCTTTTAAGAAAAGTCTGAAGGGAAAGTTACCCAAAATGCTTTTTTACTTCGCCCTTTGTTTAAAATGCCCCTATCTCTCAAAGTTTCAATAGTGTCCTTGACTCGTGGCTAAATTTGGAATGACGTGACAATTAGTGCTGAAGTTTGCTTTGATTAAGTTTCTAAAGAGAAGAAATGTGGGAGAAAATATCATTTTTAAAACGAGTGTCGGGATAGACAAGCGAGTTTGGTTGATTTTTTTAGGGCAAAATTAGGATGATATCAGCTTTGTGTTCAATTGGAAACTTTTTAAACGAGATATTTTTCCAACAAAAGGCAAAGTTTATGGGTTTTTTTATTTTTTTTGTTTTGAATACTCGGAAAGTGCTTATTTATCCCTTATTGAAAATTTAATATCCTTGTTATAACTCAGACTACATAGTTTTAAAAACTCATGCATATTAGAATCCTGAGGCAAGTGTGGGTACCTGGAATATATGGGAGCAAAGTTCCGACTCTTTTATAAAACAAAAACGTCCTAAATTTTTAAGTATTTAATATCTGTATTTTAAAATTTTTTAAAGTAAGTCTCTGTTATGTTTAATTTTATATTTGATAAGTTGAATCATCAAATTGGCGTCTTCTTCTTCCTCTCGTTTTCACATAGGCGTCAACTTGCCGGCCTCAACCCCCAGAAATTTTATATAAATTAGGAGAAAAGCCCTAATTTGTTGGTCTCCATTCCATGGCGACGATGAAGGTGTTCGGAATGGCGATTTCGACCAGCACCAGTAGCGTATTGATCTGCCTCCATGAAAAGCAAGTTCCCTTCCACCTTCTCCATGTCGACCTCTTCGCTGACCCACACAAGAAACCTCCATTTTTGGCTAAGAATGTCTCTCTCTCCCATTTTCTCCCTTCGTATTTTTCTTTCCGACACCACGAGTTTGAACTTTCCACGTCAGAATTAGTAGATGTCAATTACGGATGAATTAGATTTATTTTAGTTTATTTAACTTTTTCCACCCTCGATTGTATTTCTTGTTTTTAGATCTACTGGATGAAATGATCCCGATAAATATGGAGATTTTAAGCTTTAAAATGTAGAATTATATCATAAAACATAAAAACTTCAATAAATATAATATTTCATATTATAATTTATAACCCCTTTATTTTGTTAAAATTAAAAATGTAAAAATAAAATATTTTATAAATTAAAAATAATGTTAGTGGTGGACAATGAGTGAGTGTAGGTATCAATAATTTTTTAATGCTCATTAATTTATTTTGTTTGCACAAGAACGAGAATTCTTTTTTTTTTTTAATAAAAAATGAACTATAATGGCTGTTTCTTTTTCCTTCAAAAGGAATTATAATGGTTTTGCCCAAATACGATTGATTTTTATATTAATTTTGACTTTGTTTCTTGTTCAGCCTTTTGTCAATTCCAACCCCAGAGGATGGTGATCTACTCTTTGGTATCTCTCTTTCTCTCTCTCCCTCTACCCCTCAAATTATAAGTTTGTTCCCTTCACTTTTTGAGATCATATTTATTTAATTCTCTAATCTCAATAATACAAAAAATTTCTAATAAGTTTTCAAATTTTAAAGTTGTGTTTGCTTAGTCAATGGACGCTTCTGGTTCAACCACCTCGATCATCATGTAATCCTTAAATATTACATTCAACGTGAAAACATAAATCTATGTTTCTAAAAAAAATTTCAAAGCTAACATTTGAAATATGAAAATCGAAAAATCTTTAGATCATTCTGTTCTCTCTATGCAAAATATTTCTTCAATCCTAGAAACTCACACCTGAAATCTTTCTAAGATACTCGTGTAGATCTTCGAAATAAGAAGTGTGTCTCACCACTTCTAAAATTGCGTTCAAAGGGATAGCTTACGTATGTACATGTATGAAGACAGTGCGTATATACTAGTTGGTATAGATTTTTTAAATGAAATCAAAAGCAAAGTCGTGAATGTTAATTATGCCCGAATCGAAAAATATCCTATAAACCTCGTTAGAGTACAAAAAAACAAAATAAAAAGTTTGTTAAAAAATAGGAAACTTGTAACTTGTTTTGACTTTGTTATGAACACCTACAGAATCAAGAGCAATCACATCCGGACAAGTACAAGGAACCGGGCCCGATATGCTCCTCCACCGGCCGGACCGGACCCCGAAAGAAGCCGCCATTGTCAAGCTCTGGCTCGAGGTCAAATCCCACCGTTACAGCCGTGCAATAAGTCCCATCGTCCACCAGTTCTTCGCCGCCCACCTCCACGGCCGCGACCCGGACCAGCCCCTCATCGACCAAAACCTCTGGCGCCTAGGCGCCGTGCTTGACGTCTACGAGCAGCGCCTAGGCGCCACCAACTACCTGGCCGGCCACTCTTACACTTTGGCCGATCTCCATCATCTTCCTTACACGTTCCACTTCAGGAAGACGCCGTGGGCCGCCCTCGTTTACGGTCGGCCGCGCGTTAGGGTCTGGTGGGACGACATATCGTCTCGCGCCGCGTTTCTCAAGGTCGCCCACGACATGACGACTTCTGCAAGAGATTACGAATGATTGATTGTAATTTTTTTTTCTTCTTTGGGGTTCAATTATTATTGTTATTTTTTCAATGGTTAAGTGTGTTTTTGTTGATTTGAAATTGTGATGCTTATGATTATTTTTTAGTGGGTTGGGTTTTCTTGACTTATAAGACGGTGTTTGATACGTTGATGTGATTTTGTATGTGGTAGAATATGTTGTTGTTACTGCTCTGATTTTGGCTTCCTTGGTTCTCACCAAATACATACCAAACTTGATGATCACGGGGTCGGATACCTGCAAAATCGAGCAGGCCTAAATCGATGTGACTTCAGTCACATGGGCTCCGATGCTTAAACAAATATATTAAAAAAAACCTCTTATATATAGGAGAAAACCAATGTGAGAGTGGATAATTTCAATTAAAAATAAGACCGACAATTTAGACATTGTTTTTAAAACTAAGAATATTTTGTTCCACATTCGTAATTTATTTATTTATATATATATATAGGTTAAGTTCTTGGGTGGTGTAATTAGAATCTCTATTTCCTTTAACCAAGTTTTCTCTCGAAAATTGAGGGGTTTGAAGTATCTTGTAAAAGAATAAACCTCACATCTTTGAGATATGAGAATCGAACCTTCGATTCGAAGGAAGAAATATATACCAATTATCTCTGAACTATACTCATGTTGACATCTCACCTCTCTGTTAATATTGACTAGTAAGAGATTTTAACATCTATGAGTGGAGTATGTCTTCACAGACTGAATCATTATTGTGATGTCTGTTATTTTATTCTTAATAATATTGTAATGAATATCTCCAGAGGGATTAGTTTTTGTTTAGTAGCCTAATCTTGAACGAAGAAATTAAGTCATTAAAAAGGGATTGATCCAAAGAAAATAACATATATATGTATTTCCATATTAATTTAATGTTATATAGTGCAGTCTCTCTCTTATATTTAGAGAAAAATATTAATTTTAAATTTAAGAAACACAATTTAAAGAAATTAAAAAAAAAGTTTAAAGTTGACTAAATGAGAAATTTAACTTAACCATGGTATTAGATAACTCAATCCCATAAATTTATACACCTTTGTGGCCCCATAAAGATATGAAATCAACCTAATCTTTTAGAGAGAGAGAGAGAGTGAGTGAATATGGAGAAAAAATGATATTACAAAAATGGGCAAATAGAGAAATTAGATATTACACAAATTTAGTGAAGTGAGAAAAAAAGTTAAAGAGAATCTAGAAAATTAAAAAAGCACTATTATATTCTCTAAAAAGCTATTATTAAAGATATCAAAAAGAAGAAAAAAAAATGATAATACAAACAATCATGAGTCAAATCAACTTTAATATTTATCATTGTTGCTCTTGATACTCATTTCAAAATAGTTTTCTTAGTATAACAGCTAAGAAGGATCCAACTCAGAGTCTTGAGATGTATGTCAATTATCATGAACTATACTCGTTTTAGTATTTTAAAATAATTTTAGTCTCTATATTTAGTAACAATTTAGTCCTTGAACTTTAGTTTGTAACGATTTAGTCCATGCACTTTCAAATTGATAATAATTTAGTCCTTGAACTTTAATATATAACAATTTAGTCCTTGTATTTTAAAGTTGGTAACGATTTAATCCTTATCTAATTTTTTTTTTTTGCTAAGTTTATTGTATGTATAGATTGATAAACTAAAGAGAGACCAAATATGTTTATGAATTAGAAATATTAAATTGTTATATGATAAAATTTGACACTTAATTTTAATAAAAAAATTTTACGATAGGGACTGAATTGTTAAAAATTTTAAACTACAGGGGTTAAATCGTTATAAGTTAAAGTTCAGGAACTAAATTGTTATTTTAGAGGACTAAATCATTACAAACTGGAGTTCAGTGACTAGATTGTTACATTAGTGAAAGCACAAGGACCAAATGTGTTTTTTAACCAACTTTAAAACTTGGTTTGATGCTACGTGCATTTTCATATAATATTGAGAAAAATAAAATTAACGATTCTTTTTATTTTTGATATTTGTGAGTGTTCAGATGAATTTGTACCTACTTAAAATAATCTGATGGAAGAACCAAGTGACCTACCGCCAAAAATACACATAGAAAAAAAAACGGTTCATACAATTGCTACATAAACCAGCTCTATAATTTACTAAAAATTGCTAGACAAACCCTTATTTACTAAAAATGGCAACAAACACAATTATTATTACTATTTTTCACAGGTAGACAATTAAATAATAATACAATTAAACTTTAAAGTAATAGTTATTTAATTAATTTATATAAATAAATTTTATATTCTTAAACTTTTAAATCACATTTATCTATGATTTACAATAAATATAATTCATGGTAATTAATTATAAATGAAACGTTTTGAAAATTTAAAATTTAAAAAGGGAAAAAATATGAAAAAAAAAGAAGAAAAAGAAGAAGTTTTCCAAAGATGGCAGTTTTTTTTAATATATTATAGGATGTGGGTTTGCTAATCTTAAATATTAATGATTTGCAAATCTTGTAAACTTAAAAAAAAAAAAATTGAAAGAATATTTTTACAAATCATAAATTTAACCCACGAATCACAATCAGCTTGGACGAACTCAAATTTTTTTTTTTATCATTTATTATTTTGTACAAACAAAATGCAGAATATATAAATTTAGACTTCTTAATCTGATCCCAAGTTTAACAAATTACTTATTAAAATCAAAAGTTAGTATTGGACACTAAACTAGGTTGAAACTTTTTTCGAAAGTTCATATGTTAGCTTTTCATTTTAATTTATTTATTTCCAAGTTCTATGGATTCATTAAAAAGAAAATGTCTGACTCAACTTTTATTTTTTTTAAAAAAAAGTGATTTATTTAATACAAAATTAAATTTTTGTAAATTTCCATAATTTATATAAAAAGAGACATAATAGGTTAGAACATTAGACATAATGAAACGCTCCAGGCCAAGGATTCGAAATCTAGACTCACCCTAATTATCGTGGCATTCCTCTACATCCGCTGTGATCTGGCTACATCACCGTATAGTTCTGAACTACTTGGAAGAGTGTAGATTATCCCACCTAACTGGAGATTGCTCCAAGTCAAACACATTTAACTTTGAAATTCTTACGATCGAGTTACCGAAAAGGAAGGTGCATTTTGTTAGTATAAGTAGTGACTATTAATTTTTTAAGTATTTATTGATTATTCTTTCCATGATCTCAGAATTCTTCTCGTTACTCGAGCGTCACATGCCCACGCTTGGTTCGTCCCCAAATCACAACGTAATGGTGGAGTTTTCGCTCTGCTACCATTTGTAACGTCCTAGACTCTAGATCAGGGCCAAATTCGAATTCCGAATCCTGGACTTGGGCATTACACATAAAATTAAAAGTTAGGTCAATAGTTGTAAAATGGGAGATAAAACCATCTACTTTTTAGGATCATAATAAAGGTGTCCTATCTATTTATGCTCGAATTGACTTCAAAGTTTAGCAGCTCATTTTATTTTATTCTATTTTTGAGTTAAAAAATATACCAGGGTAGAGATTCGAACATTATCCAAATATAAGGTATAACATTAAAAGTTCAAAAACTTACCTTTTCTTTTTGAAAACTTTAAAAGGTTTAAATGTTTGACAAAAAAGAGAACTACAAAAAGATAATTCTTTTTTTTTTAAATGAACTATTAATCTTTTAACACCGATCAAGATAGAGATACGTCCTCACCTAGACCGAATCACTTTTCTTTTATTGTTTAATTCAAAGTGTAAAAGTGGAGATTCGAGACTCAAGAATACATGTTGAACTAACAAGGTTAAAATTTCAYGGACTTAATTTTTTCAAAATTAGAGACTTGAACTAAACTTATAATTATAATTTAACCGGGATGAAACCGGCACATTTAAAAAGATTTAACCCCAACTTAGCAAAGAAATTAAAATAGTAATTCAACCCACATTAATTGCTAATGTCCCCAAAAAGAATGATTTTATGTGGTTGACAAAGTCCCCTCAAGACTTGGCTAAAGTTTCTGCTCCGCCATTTCCACAGTTCATCACAAGTTGAATCTGAAAGCGACCTCCATTAATGCGCGTTCATCTCGATTTCACACTTCGATCAAGCTTCACCAACGACGAATCCTAAGTACCTTCCGCCAATTCTTCTCCCGCAAACCCATCTCAATTTCTCCTCAATTCTGCAATCTTACTCTTCCGATCGATCTTGTTCCGAATGGCGGCCCTCAAAGTCGTTGGAAGCCCCGTTTCCACAGCTACAGCGAGGGTTCTCGCTTGTCTCTACGAAATGGAGCTCGAATACGAGCTCGTTAATGTAGACATGAAAAAGGGCGAACATAAGCAGGAGCCCTTCCTCTCCATCAACGTAAGTAGTCGGAAATCATGGCACGATTGATGATGTTGTCGATTTTCCTTTTTCTGAATGCGTTTTGATTGAATTTCTGCAGCCGTTTGGGCAAGTTCCCGGGTTTCAACACGGAGATCTAACGATTTTCGGTAATTACCCTTCCATTACACTCTCAAAATATTGTTTGCGCACAAGATGTTTGATAAATTTCCGCTATCAAAATGTTGTTCGCCCACAAGGTGTTTGATAAAATTCCGAAATAAGCTCTACTGCATTCAAGGTGTTTGACAAAATTCCTCTGCAGAATCGAGGGCCATCACTCAATACCTGGTCCGCAACTTC